CAACAAATGTTTGCAGTTTATGTCTTAACAAAAGTAAAGTCGTATCAAGCAGGTTGAATATACTACCTTGTATTAGATTCCCGCTGAATAAGTTGTACTTTCATAACAGATATATGTACTATGTAATAAAACAGTGTAATTTTCCCTTGACTATTCACACATTGTTGTCAATATAATGGACTTAAATTCGACTGTCATACACGCCAGAGGTTTAGCTAGTTATAAACCCAGGTTTATTCCACCATGTTTTACATAGGAAAATATCTGTACCATGTCAGTAATATGACAGTTGTTTTCCATTCGTTTGATGTGTTTGAGATTTTGATTTTGCCATTTGATTATGGAATTTCTGTTTTGCATTTTCCCCGGAGTTCGGTATTTTTGTTTTTTTACTTTTCGTTCAAAGTGTGCGAATCCAAAGGCTGTTATAAAACACTGGAATTCACAAAATTAAGATTACAATATATTTAAAACACAATTTTTTGTCTTTATATTTTCGAAAAATCAAACATTGTTCAGCGCTAAATCGTAATTAGGAAGAACATAACTCTTTTGATATGTTTTATTGATATTTTTGGTATTCAAACTACAGTGCATACAAACATTGTTACAAGACATACTTGAATAATATATATGACATTTTGACTATGCAACTAAGAAATATAGAGGATTAACAAAGCTTAGTAGTGAATAAACAGTAGATGATACTATCTTAAGAATACTTGAGAGTTCATTAGATATACAATCATATTCAAAATAAATTAAAAATCCATAACTTACCCCTATGTGTCGACAAAATGACTCGTGTTTGTCTTCAGAAAGATATAAATATTCTAAAATTTCCAAATGTCTCTTCAGAAAAAGTGATTCCTGCACAGATATTAATAGTCTGTCAAAGTGTGTGATCTTTACATAGTTGATGTAATACTTTTCCTGTAAAATACAATAATTACACTGTGTTTATTCAAAATTATTTTAACTCCAAAAACATAATAACACCAATTAGAAAATTATCTCAAAGATTTTTTTAAGAAAATAATTATTAGAGTCTATTCAAGTGAAAGGTTTAGCTAGCTTTCAAACCAGGTTAAATCCACCATTTTCGACATAAGAAAATGCCTGTACCAAGTCAGGAAAATGACAGTTGTTATCTATTCGTTTGATGTGTTTGAGTTTTTGATTTTGCCATTTGATTAGAGACTTTTCTTTTTTGAATTTTCCTCGGAGTTCAGTATTTTTGTGATTTTACTTTTTTCTGTGTATATTTTATATTGAAAAGATTTTAAGCAAATTGTGAAGGAAGAAAATACCATCAAGGCATTTATATCTTCTATGCGCTGTTTTCTTTCAGGAATCTAACGATATCCAGACGTTTCTGGTCGGGCAAGATAACACAGACGAGTCTGCACGACTGCAGTTCGACAAAGGTCGCCTATTTTTTATGACGCCTCAATTGTTAATGAACAAAATAAAATTGGAGGAAAAGTTTCCTGTTCCAATAAATACATTTTCCATGTTAGTTTTTGATGAGTGCCATCATGTTCATGGAAAAACATCATATAACGAAATAATGGCTACTTATCGGAAAGCAAAGAATGATACACAGGAAATGAAATTGCCGCAGGTATGCATACATTGTCAGTTTATCGTCTTATGAGTTTGAATATCCCTTTGGTATCTTCCGCATCTATATTATTAACGTATTTCTCTTTTTCTTATAAAATCCGTCCAGAGCACCAAATATCATGCCCAGTTTAGATAGGGATACGTGTCTCTGAGTCCTTAATTTTCTATGTATTGTTTGGTGAACTTGTTCGTTTTCTCGTCGTTTTTCGTCTTATACTGTGGCGTGGTCAGTATCATTCCTTCTTGTGAATTTTTCTCTTTAGTATCTTCTGCCTCCCAATTTATATCTGTGTGCACATCATTTCAGATAGTAGGTTTGACGGCCTCTCCAGGACCAAAAGCTAAAGATGTGTTTTCAGCAAAGGAACACTTGATCATGGTCATGACACAAATGGATGTAGCACATTTGTCTACAGTTCGTAGGCATAGAGAGAACCTTGAAAAACATACCTCTGTGGCGATACAAGGTAAATACACGGTTTATTTCCCTGTCGATCAGCTTTCCACGTGATTCAGGTATGAATTTTTTTTTCACAAAGAAAATATGATCTTATAGTTATTGATCTATGCTCCATACCATATTTTGCATAAATTATTTCCTATAGAATGCTAATTGTGTGGAAATTTACCGAATTACCGATGAAAATCAGAAGACGAAATCCGATACAAGATAAATTAAAGTCATCAATATCCTATGTTGAAAAAATGTTTCAGTCTGTAAAGGGTAAGTATGGATTCCATTGAATACATAATATAGTTTTCCAAGAATGCAAATAGAACTGCTATCTCATCTCCGTTTAATTGGTTACTTGTTTTCCAAATATTATTTACATGCATACTTCCAGTAGCAAGATTGTCAGTATACTACATGCAAATGATTTCGACACTTTTATCGACATATATATCCGGTGTCGTATATCGTGTATATTTCAACGTTATAATACTAAGAATCCGTATTACTATTTACTCGAAAATTAACACTTTTATATACTTTTTTAAATTAAAGTTTGTTATAGCTACATTTGTAAGTTAATAAAGAATATCATATAAGTTTGGGTTTTCCCGTTAATTTTGGTTTTGTTGACGTGAACATTAAATATATCAGTATTTTATTGATTTTCAGTTCAGCAGTTCCTGCATATCAAAATACAAGATATACATCTCGTGCAACGAAGCCTTAACAACCCTCCTTTCAATAAAATAGAACAAACATACGTTATGTGGATAACAGAAACTAGACTGAAGGTGGAGACTATCTTGAATAAAGATGAATGTGTTCCAAGACTGCTATTGACATACTTACGTCATTTAGAAGTGAGTAGTCTATATATCTCATTTTATTTTCGTTGTGTATCACTGCCACGTTCTATATGTGTCCGTTCAAAGCCAGGAGACTGCAATTAAAATGTTGTCGTTTTTTGTTTTATTTGTTTTTCGTTTCGTTTTTTGTATATCAGTTCATAAGTTCCTTACATTTGTCATTTCGGGATCTTTTATAACTTTCTAAGCGGTATTGGTTTTACGAAGGCCGTACGAAAACTTCATAGTTGCAAACTTCTACGTTATTTCGTCTCTGGTAGACAGCTGCCTCGTTGGCATCATAACACTTCTTCCTATTTGTTATTGCTGTCTAAAATAACAAAACATAGATGATTCCTTTCGTTAACAAGGTGTCAGGAAAGATACGTCGATTTTTTTTATCGTCTTCTGGCTTTCGTCTTTTGTGCGTGCTTTTTTGCATCTTTACTCTGAATGCACAATTTTAACAATGCATGGAAGAAAGAAACGGATCACAACCAAGGCAATTTGTATGCAGGGAATTTAAAAAAAAAAGAAAAAATATTCAAAAATTGAAGAACATTGATAATTGGGAGAATCATCGTTCCTTCGAAAAAAGTTAAATCACAAAAATACAAAACTCCGAGGAAAATTCAAAAAGGAAAGTCCCTAATCAAATGGTAAAATCAAAAGCTCAAACACATCGAATGGATAACAACTGTCATATTCCTGACTTGATACAGGCATTTTCTTATGTAAAAAATGGTGGATTAAACCTGGTTTTAAAGCTAGCTAAACCTCTCACTTGTGTGACAGTCGCATCAAATTCCATTATATTGACAACGATGTGTGAACAAAACAAACAGACACAATAAGTAAAAATGTCGAAGTTTATTTTGTTCCAATCAAATCTTTGAAAAATTACTGTCCACTTTACCTTTTAAATTTTGTAGCCAATTGAAGTCAAATTATTTAAAAGGATTGAATGAACTAGTCTCTAACAGTGTACAAATTCATTTATGGACGACTACATTTTATGACCTCCAGGGGCAATATTTGATTCTGATCGGCTTATTTCGATAATAATGTGTTTCTGCAACTAAAAAGAGAAATAATTATCCAATGGGTCATTCGAAATGTGCAATAGTCCAATAAAATTGAGAATGGAAATGGGGAATGTGTCAAAGAGACAACAACCCGACCATAGAGCAGACAACAGCCGAAGGCCACCAATGGGTCTTCAATGCAGCGAAAAACTCCCGCATCCGAAGGCGTCCTTCAGCTGTCCCCTTAACAAATCTGTATACTAGTTCAGTGATAATGGACGTCATACTAAACTCCAAATTATACACAGGAAACTAAAATTAAAAATGATACAAGACTAACAAAGGCCAGAGGCTCCTGACTTGGGACAGGCACAAAAATGCGGCGCGGTTAAACATGTTTTTTGAGATCTCAACCCTCCCCTTTACCTCTAGCCAATGTAGAAAAAACAAACGCACAACAGTACGTACAGTAAAACTCAGTATAAGAGAAGTCCGAGTCCGATGTCAGAATAAGAAACAAAAGAAAATAAACAAAATGACAATAATACATAAATAACAACAGACTACTAGCAGTTACTGACATGCCAGCTTCAGACCTCAATTAAACTGATTAAAAGATTATGTCTTCATTATATGAATATCAGGCACAATCCCTCCTTTAGGGGTTTAGTATTATACCGTCATAAAATATATGAGAAGAACATAACCCGTGTTATGCCAACAACTGGTTTTAGAATAAATACATCATGGTAAAAAATTTTAAAAATCAACTGCTTTATATAATTCTCCGTATGCAGGCGTTGCTGAGATGTTGCTAAAATGCAATGTAGAAGCAGCCACAGTAAAATCTATTGAACCTGAAAGTAGTTGATGTGATGCCGTAAATATTTGTCGGTGTATTTGCTATAAAGTAAAGTCATGAAAAGAGATTTTTGTATATGTATTGATAAAACACCGAAATACACATTTAAAGTGTACTGTTACTTACATTTGTCGTGCAATGATTGCTTCATTGATGTGGATCTGTTTTATGTGTTTTCTTAGATATATGCAGAATGTCTGGAATTGAATTCACTTCTTGATACACATGCAGTTGGGGACTTGATAAGTAGAAAGTCATCACAAGAATCAATGCAGAGTAGAAATGCCAATACAATAGAAGAACAAGAAATTTCGAAATATCTAGAGGGTGAGTTTATTGACGGGACATCCAATGTTGTATCAGCTTTTATCCATGACTAACATAAAAGTAAGTATGACATCTTATCTCCTAACGAACTGATGACACTGAAAGTCTTTGCAAAAAACGATGTTTTAAATATTTAAATATTAAACACAAACAGTATGTCAAAAAAATTAATAAGATATAGGCAAAATATAATTCACACTAGTCTAACAAAACAATTACTGTTACAGTAATCTTATCTTCAACATGTTCAACACTTCATTGGAAGAACATTACAATGTATAATGTTTAAATGAGGCATAACACTGCTTTATGTTATCTCTAAATACCAAACTAAATCATGACCCACAGCATTAATTTATGGCAAATTTACTGATCTAGTATTCCAAGGCATGTCATTATTGCTGCACGTGTACTGGTTTGTTTTAAATTTCGATGATCAAGGAACACTTTAAACAATTCTAGTCCAAGGGGTTGACAACTGTTCATGAAAAATGTATTTCAGATGTGTGCATATACATGCGTTCTCTTATTCCTGAGCAAGAAGATGTAAATCCAGATGTACAGAAAATTATCCATCTTCTACAGACTGAATATGAAAAACAGGGAGACAATTCTAGGTTTTTAATATTTGTGAAGACAGCAGCTACTGCCAGGGCACTGGCTAAACAACTTGAATGCGTAAAAATCTCAATTGTCAATACTTCCCTGGGTCACAGGCTGGACCAGAGGACGGAGGTGAATAGGTTTATAACCATTTATCAAAATCACTGTTTATTTGAAAAATATTCTTTTTTTATGACTCAAAACAAGCAACAAAAGAGAACATGCTATTTTTAATTTAAGCTAATTTGAATCTGCAAAATCACCGAACAAAAAAAAATCGTATGATTTTGAAATTAATATAATGTTTAGTTCAGTCATTCTATGTTACCGCGAATAAAAAAAACTAAATATGACCCACTGCACCGCCGTCATTAATGACGAATGAACTGATCTAGTAATCTACATAATGCCAATATGGCTGCTTTTTTTTAAATTTACCTTGGATTTCGTTATTATTGTTATACTTATATACTAGTTGAAAAATTAAATTCGAAGAAATCCGAGTCTATAAAAAACCAAATTTGATTCCGAGATCTAGCATCTACTCAATGTTTTTATATATTGCATAGCTTAAACATTAAAGAGGGAGAAAGGGAGTTTCGGTATTTTTGTTATTTTACTTTTTACGACAAATTTGAATAAGAAGAAACAGCACATGATTGATTTTAAAGGAACTAATTTTGAGGCAGAAATGCCATTCATTCATGGCTTTTTTTTTATTGAAAATTTAACTGATATACAAATTTATAAAAACAAGTAGCATGAAAATGAGCTTGACGATATATTTTTGTGCTTCTTTGTTACATATTTGTTTGTTTTTTATATAGTGATTATACAAGAGGGACATTCAAACTCATAAATCGAAAATAAACTGACAACGACATGGCTAAAAAAAAGAAAAAAAAACAAACAGACAGACAGACAGACAAAAAAAGTACACAAAACACAACATAGAAAACTAAAGACTAAGCAGCACGAACCCCACCCAAAACTGGGGGTGATCTGACTTTTTACGAAATGAGAAGGATATATTCATCATGTTTTTCAAAGAATTTGGCCGAAAACTTAAGAAAGCAGGTATTAAAGATAAAAGATAAATATTAAACCTGAAAATTCAACCTACAAGGTGTTTCCCTATATGCGGACAAATCATGAACAGTATCTGCTTGTATCTTTATTTCTATTTTGAATCTTGCTGTTTTTCCGATTTTTTGGTTATTTTATATAGCAATTATACTACGGTTACGCCTCCGATTTTCAAACTAAAAAGTCCGAAAGTTGTCAAAGTAGACAATGTTCTCTTGTACCCAGACAAAAGTCAAATAACATGTTCAATTCACCTATATGTGGACAAATTGTTGATTTGACATAGGAATTGGCATATTGTCATTTATATTTAAGGGGCATATATAATCCTATCGTAATGGCTGTCGTCATGATACGGCAAAATGGCCGCTATGCAAATTAGAATAAGAACCCTAAATTTTGCTATATGACATGCGTATCTTCGCACAACATGTAATAAGAATTAAAAAACCCAGAATATTATCATCAACAAAACAGAGTTTTCAAATATGAAACAAAAGTATGTGTCTATCAGCACATAATAGCAGTATGCCGAATTCATACGTAATGACGTAACCTGGAACCTGACGGTACCTGGTCCTCGACCAGTGTTATTATTATTTATTTTTTTTATTTCAAGTTTCAATTTTCCTTGAAGGCATACATTTTTCTTGAGAAAAAAAAATGTTCGTCGTTTTGAAGAAGATTTAAAGATTATGTGTGTGGTGTTCGAACTTACTTTTGGTAAACCAATTGTATGTCAAAAGAATATTTTTAACCCTTTTAGCTCACCTGGCTCAAAGGGCCAAGTGAGCTTTTCTCATCACTTCGCGTCCGTCGTCCTTCGTCCGTCGTTAAATTTTACAAAAATGTTCTCCTCTGAAACAACTGCACCAAATTTAACCAAACTTGGCCACAATCATCATTGGGTATCTAGTTTAAAAAAATGTGTCCGATGACCTGGACCAAGATGGCCGCCATGGCTAAAAATATAACATGGGGGGTGAAATGTAGATTTTGGCTTATATCTCTGAAACCAAGGCATTTAGAGCAAATCTGAAATTGGAAAAAAAAGCTGTCCTGAAATTTTCAGACAAATCAGACAACCAGTAGTTGGGTTGCTGCCCCTGAATTGGTTATTTTAAGAAAATTTTGCAGTTTTTGGTTATTATCTACAATATTATTATAGATAGAGATAAACTGTAAATAGCAGTAATTATAATGTACAGCAAAGTAAGATCTACAAATAGGTCAAATGACCAAAATAGTCAATTGACCTCTTGAGGAGTTATTGCCCTTTATAGTAAATTTTTTACATTTTTTTGTAAATCTTTGTAATCTTTTACCAAAATCTATTCCTCTGAAACCACAAGGACAAATTTAACCATACTTGGTCACAATAATCATAAGGCTATCCTGTTTAAAGTAAGTGTCAGATAACCCCGCCTACCTACCAGCATGGCCGACATGGCTAAAAAAAGAACGTAGGAGGTAAAATGCAGATTTTGGCTTATATCTCTGAAACTAAACCATTTAAAGCAAATCTGAAGTGGTACAAATGCTCATCAGGTTAAGATCTATCTGCCAGGAAATTTTCAGACGAATCAGATAACCCGTATATGGGTTGCTGCCCCTGAATTTGTAACTTTAAGGAAATTTTGCAGTTTTTGGTTATTATCATGAATATTATTATAGATAGAGATAAACTGTAAACAGCAATAAGGGTCATCAATGTAAGATCTACCAATAAGTCTTCAAGACCAAAATCGTGAATTGACCCCTTAAGGAGTTATTGCCCTTGATAGTCAATTTTTAACAATTTTTTGTAAATTGTTGTAACTTTTTACCACAATCTTCTCCTCTGAAACTACTGAGACAAATTTAACCAAACTTGACCACATTCATCATCAGGGTATCGAGTTTAAAAAATGTATCCGATGACTCTGCCTTCCAACCAACAGTCAATTAAAAACAAGCAACATCTAGTAAATAACACCATTGACAGCACAAAACCTGATATAATATTTGGCACAGAAACTTGGTTAAACCCAAAAATCAAAGATGTTTGAATATTTCTGACAATTTTAAATTGTACTGAAATGACAGAAAGAAGACGGAAACATCCAAAGAAGGGGTGGTGTTCTTATAGCTGTAAAGAAAGAACTTATTAACTCTGAGGTATATGAACTTGCACCCCTGACAAAACAAAAATGGTCTGGGCAAAAGTAGACATTGTTTGTTCGAAAACTTTGTACTAAAGTTTCTTCTATAATCCAAAAACAACTGATGAAACCAGTTTTAAAATCTTTGACTTATTGATAAAAAAAGCTACACAAATAAAAAATTCTACGCTTATTATAGGAGGAGACTTTAATCTCCCTGGTTGGAATTGGAACAACAGATCACTAAAACCAAACACTAATTACCCACACCTTCATTACTTCTTTAACAACTGACTTGACGACATATGTCTCACCCAGATTGTTGATGTTCCTAGACGTAAAGACAATATCCTTGATCTGATAATTACAAACTTACCAAACCAAGTACAACGTGTTGAAGTTATTCGCGGTCTATCTGATCATGATATTGTGTTTGCTGAATTTGCTATAGATTTATAGATGATGTCTCACTTAACATGGAAAACGGTAAACAAACAGATATTTTGGTCATGGATTTCTCTAAAGCATTCGATAAAGTTTCACATTCTCTTCTCATTAATAAACTTCAACATTACTGGATACAGGGGGAATTAAATTTCTGGATACAAAATTTCTTAAGCAATCGCAAGCAGACAGTTGTTTTAGAGGGGGGAAATCAGAGTATGTTACAGTCGAGTCAGGGGTTCCACAGAGGTCAGTTCTTGGACCTAGTCTTTTCCTGTATTACATAAACCAGATTCCAACTGTCTAACATCTACAGTGCGTTTATTTGCAGATGACACAATAGTTTTTTTGGCAATAAAATCAAATTCTGATGCATCTACATTACAACAAGATCGTGACAAATTGGCATCATGAGAAACTATGTGGAAAATGGCATTGCACCCAGCTGATAAGTGTAACGTAATTTCAGTCACCAGAAATAAAACAAAATCACATGTAACTACACAATACACAATCACTCTTTAGAATATGTAACAACAGCAAAATATCTGGGGGTAACCATCAGTTCAAACCTTAAATGGAATGTACACATTAACAGCATATGCAAGAAAGCTAATAGCACCCTAGGCTTTCTAAGGAGGAACCTGAATATAAGCTCAACATATATTAAAGAGCAAGCATACAAGTCCCTAGTTAGACTTTCACTAGAGTATGCTTGTTCTGTTTGGGATCCATACTTACACCAAGATATAGATAGCATTGAAAAAATTCAAAGGAGGGCTGCCCGTTTAGTTACCAACAAATACAGAAACACATAACGCGTTGGTAACATGTTACAACACCTTGAATGGCACAGCCTCTCTGACAGAGGAAAAGATTCAAGATTGGTAATGCTATAAAAAATAGAACACGAAAAGGTTGCAATACCTCAAAATAATAAATTAATTCCTCAAGAAAGACAAACAAGACATTCAAATTCGAACAGATTCCTGAAATTGTCCATATACGTCAAAACTGTTAGACAAATTCTTATAGGAGTTATTGGCCATAGATGACAGATTTTACCATTTGTTTTTTTTTTCATTTTTGCCTAATATCATGAAAAAAAAATGATGAAAACTATGATATTTACAGGGAAACATTGTTTTTCCGTTATGCCTTATATGATTTAAATTATGAAAGATAAATAAACACTTTAAATCACAAAAATGATCAGCAAGGCAAGATCTATTAAAAAGTCAAATTTTGCCGATATAGTTAGTAGACTGTCACTCTTTATAGGAGTGATTGCCCTTACATGAGGATTTGTTTTGAGCAAAAACTAAGGAAGATAAAGAGAAACTAAACAGACTAAAAGATCAGTAATACAAGATCATCAAAATAGAGATTTTTGTCATGAAGTCTATTTCTTCTACAATTTTGGAGACTGTCATTTGTTTGATATGCACATAAACCAAAGTGAGCGACACAGGGTCTTAAGAGCCTCTAGTTTTGATTACATACACACATATCATTATTTTTACTTTTCATCTGCCTTGAATCAAGTACCATATAAATGCAGTGATATGTAGAGCAAACCACTGATGACCAATTTTTCTTTTTTTTTCTTACAAATTTCATACACTTGTTTTTGATTTTTTTGACAAATTTTTTTTTTTTTTTCTTTTAATTTCTTTTTACATTTTTTTTTCTTCTTCAAAATTTTACCATAGAAATAAAACAAAACATAGATAATTTAGTTTGCAGCAAAAAACTCAAACTATTTTTAAGAAAATAGTAATTTTAAGAATTGTTAAAATTAACTTAATTATAATTATCTGACATTGTATTATCTGCACTGTAAAGAATAATTTATATATATTATTATCATGATTTTGCATTATGTGTTTTGAAAAAATAAAATAAATATAAAAAAAAAATATTTATTATTCGTTATCTTAACGTTTGATTTGTTTAACTTATTCCAATGTATTCTATTTTCACAAGTTATTACCAAACATAAACAACAGGAAGTGTTAACTAACTTTAAATCTGGTGTGCACAAATGTATTGTGGCAACTTTAGTAGCCAGCGAAGGAATTGATATACCTGAATGTAACACGATAATACGATACCGATTTACAGCAAATAAAATTACAAGCCATCATTTGAGAGGTTTGTGAATAGCTTTAAAGTATGAATTTTTTTTCTGACAATAAAGATAACCATTTAATATATATTTTATTTTGATCTTTTGATCTTTTTATTTCAAAACATATATTTAAATTTTTTATTACCTTGAACTTTACAGCTCATCGGTGTCAATACAAAATTTAAAGTACACAAGAATCAATAGATGTTAATCGTTTTAGGGTAAACCAACCAATGCAAACAACAGACAAGTCTTAATTAACGAAGCATACGGCCACCATACTAAATTATAAACCTGTTACATTTTATTATCGATATATAAAACGAATCTGTTTTAATTTGAGCGTTAACCATTAACCCTATGTGGATTCTTAAAAACTCTAAAGAACTTCTGGATAATTTTAAATCTCGGTCTTTTTCTGAAATTAGTTCTATCAAAACTTTTGATTTTTCAACCTTGTATATCACCATTCACCATGTGAAATTGAAAAACCGTCTAAAAGAAATAATCCACAATGCTTTTCAACATAAAAATGGTAGTATACGCTATAAATTTATTACTTTGGAATACCATAAGGCATATGTTGTTAATAGTGAACAAAAGGGTAAAACATGCTACACAGAGGAGCAATTGATCAGTATGCTGGAGTTTCTTATTGACAACATATTTAATGGATTTGGAGGTAGACTATTTCAACAAATTGTCGGCATTCCTATGGGAACGAACTGTGCGCCTCTCCTTGCCGACCTCTTCTTATTTTCATATGAATCGTAGTTCCTTCAGACACTTGTCAAAAACAAGAAGATCAAAGAAGCCAGGTTATTTAATTTCACTTTCAGATATATTGATGATGTTCTTTCTATTAACAATCCGAACTTTTCTGATTGGGTTCAATTAATATATCCCCCAGAACTAGAAATTAAAGAAACAACAGACACGGCTTCATCCGCCTCATTTTTAGACTTATACCTCGAATTTGACATACACAGTCATCTCAGTTCCAGAATCAATGACAAACGAGACGATTTTAATTTTGAAATTATCAATTTCCCCCACCTTAGTAGCAATATACCAACTTCACCTGCATATGGGATATACATTTCCCAACTTATTCGGTATTCAAGAGCTTGCAGCTCATACTCAGACTTTGTAATTATATAAAACGTCACCAGTGTCTGAGCAGAAAGTTGATGAACCAGGGGTATGTCAAAGAACGTCTCGTCCTTTTTCTAAAAAAGTTCATCGGAAGGTACCAAGTCCTTGTTGATAAATATTTCGTATCAACTTCACAAATAATACACGATGGTCTTGAAGTATAGATTCTGCGTACTGACGTTGTTTATCATCTTAATAACGTGTTATAGTATTCTTTTATTTGTCTTTATCAATATTACTTTTACTGTTAAGTCTGTTTTTTGTGATATCTATTTGACGTGACTCTGTACTTATGTATCCCGTCATACTTTGAACGACAAAATTATTTTATATCTACCTGTGTGACGTCAAACGCGCGATTCTACGCCAGTACTTAAAATTTTCCATCCTTTATGGGTGGATTTTACATTGATAAATAAAATCGTGTTATTGTGCTATGGTACATTTTTGTATTCTTGTCTTTCAGTTTTCCGATGTGCTTTGTCTATATGTCTTTTTGTTTATCTTTGTTGACATATTTGCTTGTTTTATAGTGATTAAGATTACAAAACAATGTGGACTGCTGTGCCCCTATTTTTGACATTTTTACTTATTATGTTTGTTTGTTTTGTTTACACATCGTTGTCACTATAATTGAATTGTATACATCTGTCATACAAGAGGTTTAGCTATCTATAAAACCAGGTTGAATTCACCATTTTCTACATAAGAAAATGCCTGTACCAAGTCAGGAATATGACAGTTGTTATCCATTCGTTTGATGTGTTTGAGCTCTTGATTTTGCCATTTGATTAGGGACTTTCCTTTTTGAATTTTCCTCGGAGTTTAGTATTTTTGTGATTTTACTTTTTAGATCTACAAATAGGTCGTCTAAAATATGTGTCCTACAATTACCGAGATTTGAACCTATGGTTCTGATATACAGATATGTATTCTCATATATTAATATATTATTATCCTATATTCTTAATTAAATTTTTAGTGGATTTTCAGGTAGAATTAGAACCGCTGGTGGAAAGGAGATAATAAAAGGATCCGAAAAACAAAATCTACGTGAAACCATTAATGTAGAGAGGATGGTGTTGATGGAAAGGGCAGTAAATGCTGTCCTAGCAATGGGCGAGCATGAAGTTAGAGAAAAGATAAATAGAAGTGAAAAACTTCTCTTCGAATCTGAGGAAGTAACACGGAAGAAAGCGCTTGAAAAAAGTCAACATAAAGTTGGTGAACTTTAATTCTATCTTTGGACGTATTACACACAAGCCAATATAACACATTGTAACTGAAGACATAAAACTGACTGATAAAGTGTTTAGTGAATGTAGGCATGAATGGGGACATATAAACCTGAACAATGACTGTGAATTAGTTGTTGTGGCTCAGAAGTATATTAAAGTATATAATGTGGCAAAACAAGGACCTAAAAATATTAAGACATGGCAGGATGTTCCATATAAGATTGCAACCGTAGATGACGATGATATACTTGCTTTCAGATCTAGTCAGCATCCGACACCAGAATGACATCAATCAAATAGAAAGGCCAGTAACAGTTGTAAAATTCATATACACTTTCATACTTCAAAAATGTTTGTATTTGCTACAAACGTTTGGTAAGGAATCTAGATGTGTGTAGAATGCAATAAATCGAATAGAAACGTGCATGCCATTATGAGCTGGTGACCATAAGTCGAAATTGAACATTTCACTAGTTGTTAGATTTTCTCTCCTGGACGATGATGATCCGTTGGAACTTTCTTATCGAATGTACATTACCATGTTTCTCAGTTGATTAGATCTGTGCGTTTTCCATGACGTCCCTGAAATACACATAACACACTTACTGATTACCCCTTACACACACACATACACACACACAGACAGAAATAATTCTAAATGTTGTTTCTGCATTAATTTCTTGTTCAAGTTTAGCCTGATCAAGTTGGATTGGAAGTACAGCCACCAATATCATAGAGTAGGACGGCATGATTTTAAATCATCCAGTCTAGTACTTTGAGCTTGTGGCTCTTAGGAACTATATTATAGTGTTGCTTGTATTTGTGTAATGCTATCTTTAAATATGAATAAATTGGAGATACATGTATACAACATTTACATTTATCTCCAATTTATTCATATTTGTTAACAATTTGTCTACATGCAATACATGCTATATGTTGCAATTATAATGTAATATACTAGAAAGCACTTTCACATAGTTCTGTTTGTACTTCGCATATGTTGACTCTGACTCGAGATTGGAACAAACTTCTAAGTAAAAATGTTACAGTAAAGGTATGATTGAGAGCTAGAAACTAGAATAATGAGCCATAATAGTGCTACACATCGTTCTTGAGCACTATTACCATGAGCTAGCATATGAGAAGTACTATCATCATGTATCAATATCGGGTTATTGTGTTATCGTTCTCAATTTGAAGGTAATATATATAAAGTTGAAACAAGTCAGTATGCTATACTACCATAACCACTAAAGATTGTTTGTGTATATTTTTTGTGATAGTGGTCAAATTGAAGATGAGAAGCACTTTCTGTTTAATTATTGGTTTTTCTCTGATATCAGATATGAATTATATGCCAAAGCCTGTCTTTTAAATGTTGATTTTGATTATTTATGCGATATTGAAAAACTCCATTACCTTATGTGTAATGAGAATATGGTTCTTCTTGTAGCTATAAAAATAAGAGATATGGTAGGACTGCCAATGACACAACTCTTCAAGAAAGACCAAATGACACAGAAATTGTCAATTATAGGTCACCGTACGGCTTTCAACAAGGGTAAACCCATACCGTATTGTCAGCTATAAAAGACCCCGAAATGCAAAATGTAAAACAATTCAAACTAGAAAACTAACGACCTGATTATGTACAAAATAATGGACTAGAGCTAATTCACTGTCTTCTATGTTTTACCGACGAAAACATGACGTAATCAGGAAATTATATATGTTTTTTTTTTTTTATTTACGAAATACTTTATACATGTAAAAAAATAATATTTTTATGTATGTATTACATTTCTGTTTTAATGATAGTGTCTCATTAGTCGTTTTCGGCCGACATACTTTTTTCTAAATGCTAGGTTCATAGGACTTTGTGTATATAGATAGATACTGTAATGGCTTTAATAGCAATTATCTAAATAACATGTGATAATTATTTATATATGGCACGTGTTAATGTTAATTTTATGTCAGCAGTTTCTAAATCAAGCAACTGATACAAATGACAATAAAGAAATCTTTAAAATAAAGTAAAGAAAGTTAAAAATTTAGAAAAAAACCTAGGCAAATGAAGCATTGTTGCTGTTGTATCTAAAATTTTGATGTACAAATCTTTCAAACTTAATTATAAATTTTCAGTTAGTTAAGCCAGTGATATAGGCATATCTACTTTTGAAATAAAGGAATACTTTTATTTTGTACATTATACATTAATCTGCCACAAGACGGATGACAGAAATCAACATGACATGCATCTGGTATTCGATCAAAAAGGTATCGCATGCGTTGTTTCGATGTCGTCACATGAAACATGAAAAACTGGATAATATCTTTAATCTAAAAAAGCAGCTGAGATTAATTTTCCTTTTAACAGACCACCCATGGACCTCTCAACGAGTTTTTGTATTGGCTCCTATACTACGAGACACTACCCCACCAGGCATTATATCGATCGTCCCTATTCTGGTCGTAGGTAGCTGTGTATATGTTTTCTATGTTGCGTTGTGTGGATTTGTTTGTCTTGTCGTCTTTTTGCCATGGTGTTGTCAATATAATTTAAAAATAAGGAGATGTTCTATGATTGCCAATGAGAGAACTATTCAAACGAAGTGGATTTAAGCAATTATTGGTCATTGTACGGCCTTTAACAATGAGCAACACTCATATCGTATAGTAAGTTATAAAAGTCCTTAAAATAGAAAAATATATATGACATACTTCAAACAAAAAACAAAAACAGAATGGCCTGATTGAGGATAAAACAAATAAACAAAAGACAACAACCAACGACAACCTCTGAATTACGGGCTCCTGACTTTGGAAAATTATATGAAGAATGTGGCGGGATTAAATATGTTTGTGGGCAGTTAGCATTCCGCTAACTTGTGACAGTAGTGTAACAGCACAACATAAATACAAACAATAAAATCAGTAGGTAAAAATGAGTTGAATCATTCAATCTGCACGAAGCAGGAAAACAAAATCAGAAAAAGACAAAAGACACAAAGTACTCACAATTACTGAAAGCTAGTTCAAAGCCAATAACAAGTTGGTCTTTGATATATGAGTTCGAATATCCTTTGATATCGTCTACCTCTCTTTTGAAATCATAGAGATATTGAGTTTCGTTTGGTATAACGCTGAATTATTCGAGTTAGATGCATTTTGTCTTTTTGATCAGATAAGGAAAAGGTATGTTGTTATATTTTACAGAACTCGAAATTTTGTTTTTCTTTTAATTGTTAATGTTTTCTGCATTCTATGGTGTGTCAAACGTTATATTCACAAAATAAAATATATGTTCATAAAAAAAATAATTCTTCGTGGAAATTAAGTATTTGTTCATAAAAACAAAATATTTATCCACAAAATCAAAATATGTGTTCATATAATATAATATATAATATATATGTATGCATAAAAATGGATATATATTAAAAAAATTAGAAAATATATATTGATTTTTTTATAATTTTGATATTTTGAATATAAACATCCGATGTGAAACGAAGCTTTTTTCTGGATTTACCATAGTCAGGAATCAGGTTGATTTATGATTAAATTGATTTTCGAATTCAAAGGGCTAATAAGTGGCCTTATCGTCCACTTCTTCTTTTATTTAAAATCGACATGAATTCCAAAAGGAGCGAGACAGGGTAAGCGGCTCCTCCTATGCATGCATCATTCGCAATGCGAATCCATTCTCTGTCAAAATCTCACAATCAGAAATAGGACACAATCTGTAAAGTTATGGATTAGACGACAATTCTACTATTTGAATATCTAAGACTGCAATAAAATATGTCGCTACTGAGTTTAAACACAGTCATATTGACTCAATCAACCAATTCGTGATGGTTACCGTAAAACATAGTTTGCGTCGATTTCAATCATCCTGATGTGTAAGTAGCACGCCCCTGCTGATAAAGTCCATATAGTGTGAATGTGAATGAGCGTAACGTATCAATTGAGATATGTAAACGTTATACCAAAATATTCAGTCAAAGCGAAAACAAATAAGCGTTCAAAACCAAGATGCACAATTTTGGCCGGAAGCCAGAACCAGTTGTGACACAGCATTTGTTGAAATCTGCATGCATTTCAATTGCATTTTTGTCTTCATAACAGCTTTTCATGTAATTTTAACTTGAAATATTTCCTGCAGTTCAAATGCATTTTTAGTTTCTTTGTCTTCAATATAAGGTCCCTTTTGGTCCATTTATACCTTTCATTTCCTCAAAATTTCAACTTTTTGGGCCAATAAATATTTTTTTTTGGGTAACTTTCACTCATTTATGAAGGAAATGTGATAATTAATGAGTAATTGAAGTATTCAAGTTGAATGAACTATCCATATAAAAGTTTACTGACTCCATGGAGGTTTCAATAAGTCCTTACGTAAAACTTAAATTTACGCCGCGTTCCAGAAAGCTTTCCTTTTAGTGAATAATTTATTGTTACTGCTTCAAAAATAATTTCATTTACTAATTACTATATATCTATGACAGTATTACTTAGGAAAAAGTTTTCTATTATAGCAAAATAAAAGAAATACGGAGAAAAAGTAAGAAAAAGCTCCCCAAAACACTGAGTATGGCTTGCTCTGTCTACTAATATTCATAGTAGAGTTCTATTTCAAAACAATTTTCTCATAAAATGTGTTTTTGAGACTCAATACACTCAGAATATTTCATTTTTGTAATATTTCACTTAAATAGCTAGAAATTTTAACAAATGAGAGTACACACAAGGTCACAGGTGCATGTGCAGCTTCCCATAATAGGTGTAATACCACCATTGATGTTCCCCTATTAGTCTTTGTTAAATTTGCACTTTTCAAAACATTGTGCAGAATTTATCTTTGTTTCAAATAAAGAAATACTTGGCATGAGTTAAGTTTTATCCTGTCCAGTACTATAGACAAAATTTCACATAACATTTCATCGCATATAAGAAAATAACTATCACTGGAAGTTAACCAATCAAATTTTCACCCCTTTTTTCCTGTGTACAAGCTTTAGTAACCATGTAACCTCAAGTTTCCAAAACATTCTATAGAAACACCAAATAAAAAATAATGGTGCTTTGAAACACCCAAGATATATGTTTATGACTCAGAAATTTTTTACCGCAATGAAATGTAGGATTAATTTCCTACAAAATGTCAAATTCAAGGGAATATTTTTTTCGACCCTTTTTCGTATGCAACCGGATGTGACGTACTATGATTTGGTGGTATTACACCTAAAACACGTGTTTCTGGAATATCGTCATCAGGTAAACTTTGAACATGAATATCTGAAATCCCTTCATTAGGTTGGTCCGAAAGCTTTAGAGGTGCATGACTATGATCAGAGCAAAACAACTAGCGAAACCAACGACTGTCAAAGATTTACTGTACCAGATGGAATTTTATCCTGAATGTTATACAATAGTTTATCAACTCAATCGTTATAATAAAATAATACCAACTCTATCAACATTTTGTTTGTTTGTAAATTGACATCCGATGTTTTGATGATTTAATTTCAGTTTATGTACATGTGTATTTTGATTGCTCTTTAATTACAGAGACCTTGCAACGAGAAAATGTCTATTGTCAGAGAACGATTCCATAAAAATAGTCGGCGATTTTGGGATGAGCCGTTTAACTGGAAGGTAAGTTATTATTATTAAAAACCTAAATGACTCATTGACAATGCATGCAAAATTGTACATGTATGATACTTATGGAATAACAGCACTGTAGTTGAAGAGTTGACACCGTCAATAGGCTATATGACGGTCGCAAATGCAGTTTTACTGGCGACGCTTTTCCTTCCACTTCCACTTCAAAATATCCCATGCAGCCGTTCACTATCCATCTTAACAGAAATTATCAAATACTACTATATCGACTATGCTGACTATGCGGTATGGGCTTTGCTCATTGTTGAAGGCCGTACGGTGTTTCTGTGTCATTTGGTCTCTTGTGGAGAGTTGTCTCATTGGCAATCATGCCACATCTTCTTTATATACATATACTAAATAAACTAGCAAACGTGTGTTTTATAGAAACTGCAGTTCATGATCGGATGTTGCACTGTTTACATTTGATTTGTTTATTGTTTGAATGAGAGTTGTCTGTTTTCCATTGTTTCAATTGACTAGTTGACCCTTAAAACCTATGATGTACCAACAAGCAAGTATTGTGTTACAACCATTCAAAAATTTACGTCACATTTAAAAGTAATCTGTATCTGTCATTATCTTACCTCCTATACATTTCCTATATTTTTAGGAATATAATTTGTTAAAATCAACCGTGTGCTCCGTGTATAGTTCATATTAGGTTAGTAGGCGGGGCTTATTTCAATACACGGTTAGTAGTGGTGTTACGTCCCTTTATAAAAAAACACGGTGTTGAGGAAAACTCTGAGAAGTTTCAACAGACAAAGAAATTGATGATGAACGATTGAAATAAATTCATAAAACACATTTAAAGCTAACAAGTTGTTATTGTTGGCATTTGTTTTTGTATAGACAAATGGAAGTAAGTGTTAATACTAAGTATTGAAGACTTAATCACTTTGATATGCCACTAGCCTAAATACCACATGTTAAGATAGTCGGAAAGATAAATTCGTTACACAGTGTGCTAGTGACCTAATACGATATATATGGGGTCAGTAATTTACATATGGGGATTTGAGCTTCGCTCTCACCCCATATGGAATTTACTGACCCCATATATATCGTATTAGGTGACTAGCACACTATGTTACTAATAATCTCGATAAGCATGTACTTATTACACATCTAGAATAATATGTTATGATCACATATTCCGATCATGTAACTGAATTGAGAAGCCATTGATTATTTCAGAACCAATTACTACAGAAGGAAAGGTACTGCTATAGTTCCTGTAAAATGGATGTCTCCAGAGGCTTTCATCGACGGAGTTTTCACATCAAAGACCAATGTTTGGTAAATAATGATTTTGTTTTAAAGTTATATAAGAAAAAGGTTTTAAGATCACAGCCTGGCTTTTGATTTTTAGTTTTTATGTGCGCGAGTGATCTTGTGTCATAAATTGATGCCCAATATCCCTCATTTTACATTATGATTTTGTTGCATTGCTGACAGTAGCATGATTATGTAAACTTTTTTTCAATAAATTTTCCATTCGTTTTATGTTAAAGGGAAAAGATA